GGGTAACAGTAGAGAAGCTGCAGAGAGGTCTGTTAAACTAGGACTCTGCTTCCTGGTTTAAACTATTTACCCAATTGGAGTTATTTTTATTAGATTATCCTGATTTAAAGCTGAATGGAGATAAATCTAGACCATGCTGGGGAGAACCTGATAGAAGCTTCAGTAGACCTGAGACTTAGCCGGAGGTCCACCTTCCAGCAGAAGAACAACCATCAATAGTTCATTGGCTAGAACGGCCTAGTCAAAGCCCAGACTTTGATGTAATAAAGGACTTTTGGCCGAATCTTGACCTGTTCTGAGCTGTAGCTGCATCCTGAGCTGGTTCTACAGAGAACATCTGGACATGTCAGACCAAAGGACATCTGGTCCAATCTGTCCAGACGTCTTCTGACTTGATGTCCGCCCTAACAGCTCTGTCTCTGTCTGTCCCTCAGACTGGTCCACCAGGGTAAAGCAGATCACCAAGTTGTGGAGGAAGGCCAGCTCTCAGGATAGAGCGCCCTTCGTGGTGAGTACTCCTCATCTTCATCCAGGCCCAGTCTGGATCTCACTCCTCATCTTTAACTTCTTGGCCTGCAGCAAAAAGCTCGGGACAACCGTGCCGCTCAGCGAATGAACAAGGTGCAGCTGTCCAACGACTCGCTGAAGCGGCTGCAGCCCTCCCAGCCGCCGCCCCTGGGCCTCCATGACCAGGTTCCCATGGAGACGGAGGCTGTCTTCAAAGACCCGTTGAGGCCCAGAGAGTCTGAGCAGGAGCAGGAGTGGAAGCTGCGACAGGTGAGAGGTGACGGGTTAAAACCCGCCTATGGAACCAGCACCTGTGCCGGCAGAGGGAGGAGCTTGATGATGTCATCGCCTGTGATCGGTCGGCCTCTTGATTTTTGCTTCTCTCAGATCATGCGTCAGAAGAGCAAGCAACTGGCCAAGATGGAGGCCACCCAGAAGTTGGAGCAGGTGAAGAACGAGCAGCGGCAGCAGCAGCTCCGTCAGTCGGGACACCTTTCCCCAGAAGGTCCCGCCCAGCAACCGGTTGCCAGCGGCGACATCTCGCCCCTGCAGCCGTCGTCAAGCCACCAACAGCTCCTGCAGGAAGCCGGGTCAGGGGGGGTGAATGATGTCTTCCTCAGGCCTCAGGTCCCACCCCCCTCTGGATTCTCCTCCCTGCCCCACTCCCCCTTGGCCTCCTCCCCCTTGCACCAGCCTCCGTCCTCCCCCCAGATGTTCTCCCCCCCCTCCTCCCGCCCCTCCTCTCCCTGGGACTCCTTTTCCAAAGCAGCAGGTCCTCCTCGCCCCTCAGTTCCTCCTCTTACTCAGCAGCAGCGGCTCAGCCTCCTCAGCGTGTCCCCCGCCCACGATGCCTCCGGCTCCTCCGCTCCGTCCCCAGACTCCTCCAACCCAGGTAGGTTCCTGTCCCTGTTTTTCCCTCCATTCTCTGGTGTCTTGCTCCTCTACTCACGTCTCCTCTGTGTTCCTCCTCCAGGTTTGCAGAGCAGGATGGGGGTGATGAGCCCGGCCTCCTGCTCCCCCCCTGATTTGACTGGCAGACAGAACCGGGCCGCAGAGCCCTTCAAGTGGACCAGCCTGGCAGTCCCGGGAGCGCTGTTTAAAGCCCCCATGCCCCGACAGCAAGATCTGGGAGGAGGAAGGAGAGACCTGGGCTTCCCCCCCAACCTGGACCCCCCTTTACCGTCCAGTCCGGCATCAAGCCTTGGCTCCCCCCATCGTAGTCCCTACGCCCAGACCCCTGGGACCCCCATACAGCCCAGCGACCCCCTTCCCCCCAAGTCCCCTCTGAGTTCCAGACCCTCCCCCGACCCTAACAGAGAGACCCCCAGTACACCTCACCCCCACTCTGACTTCGGATACCTCACCACTCCACCTGCACTGAGACCGGACCAGATAAGCCAGCACCCCTCCCCATCCTGCCAACCGCTGGACCCCTACGCCTCTGCCCCAGGAACCCCCCGCCCCTTGGAGCGATTCCCGCCGTCCCCAGGCCCTCAGCGAGGCTTTGACTCCTCCCAGCCTGCAGGGACACCTCTTCAGCAGCCTTCAGCCCCTCGGCCACCTAAGGCCCAGGCTGCGGCGTCTGAGTCGGCCCCTGTTGGAGCCGGACTCATGGCGGCGCTGGGAACCTTCAGCGCTGCAGGACCCAAGGTAACAACATGGAGAACCAGAGAGTCTCTGACTCCTCTGGGTTGTCGTTTTTCTAACATTCAGCCCGGATGCTTTCCTGTCCTGTTCAGCAGCTGTTAGCATATCGGCACCTTGCTCCAAAGTCCTACGGCTTCTAGCTTAGACTCCTCTGATTTCTGAAGCTTCCCACACATTCAGGGACGTCTGTCCACCCAGTCCCTGCAGACTGCAGGCAAACAGATGTGGGTAAATCAAATCTATTGGAACTAAGGACGCAGTGGAGCGGCGGGACCTCTAATGTAGTGCTAAGTTTGAATCCAGCGCTGCGTCCTCCCGACATTCCTAGACTGATAACGTCAGCGCGGCGCCGAGGTCTGTTCGGACAGGAAGACTCCTCAGTTTACGGCCGACATTGCAATTCTATTCAGTTTATTTCTATAGCCTTAATTCACATCATGTCATCTCAGGTCACTTTCCAGT